GAGGAAACTCAAGTACTTTGGCCACCTAATGAGAAGGAAGGACTCACTGGAGAAGAGCCTCATGCTGGGAAAGATTGAGGGCAAAAGAAGAAGGGGACGACAGAGAATGAGGGGGCTGGATGGAATCACAGAAGCAGTTGGTGTGAGCTTAAATGGACTCCAGAGGATGGTAGAGGACAGGAAGGCCTGGAGGAATGTTGTCCATGGGATCGCGATGGGTTGGACATGACTTTCCAACTAAAAACAACGTTTTTGTTGGAAACCAGAAGTAAACATTGGTTTTTAGCAAAACTTCTGTATATTGTGGTCACATGACCCCTGGGTGCTACAAATGGCCAAAAATGTGGGACAGCTGCCAAGCGTCCAAAATGCAGTCATGTGAACTATGGGATGGATGACATTGGAACTTTGAAACTGGGTAATTAGATGGGGGGGTCTGTTGTAACTTAGAACTATCATTGAATGATTGGCTATAAGTTGTGGATTACTTCTTTTCTATCTGAGGGTTAAATAGGATTCCCCAAACTGAGCTGAACTTATCTTTCCCTCCTTAAACCCCCATTTAATTTTATTCCCTTTTCCATATTTATGAACTGTTCCTACCACTGAAAGTTCTCACAGCAGCTTACAGAATCAAAACAAAGTGAATCCTTTCTAAAACAACACCATAAACTGTGATTAAAACAAATGGCAAATTAAGATCAATAACCCTGAACAGAGAATAAAACATGAAACAGAACCAATTTTAAAAGAGCAGCAAAGAACAGAAATGCCCAAGGGGTAGAAAAACATGGCCTAGATGAAATAATTAATTCCCTCCCTGGGAATTGCATTTCACCACTGAGCACCATTATGAATATGTCCACTTCCCTAAGAGGCACTCGCTGTCTGCACCTGACGGGAATCCTTTGAGAATCCTTTGTTGGCTCTTGTTATTCATACTAAAGGAAAAGTATTAACCTCCAGCTGTTCAGTTGCTTTTTCCCTTTTATCTTCACTTCATCAAGAATGCCCAAAATGCTCTGAATTAAGTGAAAATTAAGAGAAAGTGGGTGGCACAAAGAAAAAGGACATAAATTGTAGTGGGAAAGTCTGGAGAAAGCCAAGCATGCCATGAAAAAGAGATATTTCAATTCCCATTCAAACCTATCTTTAATTTTTTTTAATATTCTTGTGATGGAATGTGCACCTGGAGAAACAGCGAGGGGAATTTTGGCAGCACAGAGCTCTCTCTCAGAAAGGAGGCAGCACATTCTGGAGACAAGCCCAAATTGACAGGCTGCATAGTCCCCAGCTGGATGGGGGAGGAAGGAAGAGGTTCAGGGTAGCCGCACACTAGTATCTCCCAGGGTATATCTAATAGCTTAGAAGGTTACAGCTTTTGTCTGGCAAGATTCTGTCTATTAGATGTGAGCAAATAAAGAATTGGGACTCAACTTGATTTCATTGTGTCATCTTTGGACTTGGGTTGACCAACTTTGGGCAGCCAAAATTTGGGTTTATTAATGCAGACAATCTATATTTCAATTTTATGTGATAGCTAAATCACAACATATTTCTAAGGACATTGACTGTTGATAGCAGTGTATTGTACAACAGTGATTTTTAGCCTCTTAACCTTGTGTATTAATATGTGTTTGCATGTGTATATCTCTGTATACATATACATACACAAGGGAACATGAAAAAGAGTAAAATATACTTTTCATTCTTTTTCATGGTTCTTTTTCTATTTGTTTAAATGTTTTCTTTGATGTATTCATTGAAAGAGAAAAAAAACAAAAAAAAAACTTCAAATCAAAATAAATTTTGAAGATTTTCCATCCCATCTCTCTCCATTAGGCACTAAAGAGTCAGAAATGGCTAAATTAGCCTCATTGTGGAAGAAACCTCAGAAACAGAATTCAACACTTGGCTTTACTTTCAACAGTGAAGGAAGGCATTTAGTTCAATGAAGCATCTTTTAAAAAGTGTATGATAACTTTTTTGAAAAATAAATAAACATTTTTTCAAGTTTTTAACTACCTCATGCCCATATGCACAAGCAGAGAGAAACAAATGAACCTGGATAGTAAATTTTATTTTATTTTTTTCTAAAAATGAGTATTTATACAAGTGTAAGAGAATACTAGGGGCGTGGTGTCTCAGTGACTAAGATGTTGAGCTCGTCGATCAGAAAGCTTGGCAGTTCAGTGGTTTGAATCCCTAGTGCCGCGTAGCAGAGTGAGCTCCCATTACTTGTCCCAGCTTCTGCCAACCTAGCACTTCAAAAACATGTAAAAATGCAAGTAAAAAAAATAGGGACCACCTTTGGTGGGAAGGTAACAGTGTTCCGTGCACCTTTGGCATTTAGNACAATGTATTAAGTAGGCTAATAGTTAATGATTGAGACTAGTTGTATATAATGTGAATGTATGGTCACTTCGACTTTGCGTACTGCATTGTTTTAAATGTAAAAATAATAAAAATATATCCCCCCCCCAAAAAAAGATGGGATTTGTGATGGAGAACATTATACCATCCCAAGAAAGAGCGAACAGGAGAAAGAAACTCCAAATAATCCAAATTTTGATGTTGCTTAATATAAGAGAGAAAGTTTGGACAGCTTTCATGAATCTGTTATTTTACTTTACTACAAAAAGATCAGTGCAGCTTCTGGACAGGCCTCCTTAACAGGCTTTTCTCTGGCTTTTCAATTGCATAATTTTCCTTGATTTAATTAGTTACATTGATTTAACTAATGCCCTTGACTTACAAAGTCCAATTTATCTATTGTTTTGACTGTAAAGTGGTTACCTGTTTGATATTCTGTTAATTTTGTCGGAATTAGAGTTGCCTAGGTTATAATGTATTTAATTTGTATGGAACATATTCTGATTCAATTGAGATTCTTTTATTTCTGTTCTGTGCTTAGATTTTAAATACATTCAACTATTACTATTACTCAGTTGCACTATTGTGCTTGTTGTTGTTTTTCTCCCTTTCACCTTTCCACATTTTCATTTGCATTCATCCTGCTCTTAGGACAGTGTTTTCCACATCACTAATATATAGAGACCCAGTGATGGTGCATACAATATTACCTAGTTGTGCAAGTACTGAGAATTATGTATTTCCATAAAGACCACAAGTACCTAATTAACATCTTGAAGGAGAAAGTTACATCATGAATGTCATTGTTTGGACTTGTCCCAGCTGCCTTTGCCACAGTCGCAGCCAGCACTATAGAGATTTAAGCCCTTAGCACATTTGGGATTAAAAGCATACACAGAAGATCTGTTCTACAGATTTAGGTGATCTATCATGACATTGGAAAAGGTCTAATTGACTTACTTTCATAGTGGATCTGAAAGCCAACGTCCGAGTGACTTTTGTCCGTGGTAAAGAGCAAGTAGAGAAAATTGCTGGTGCTGATGAGAAACTGGGGGACTTGGGTCCCATCATAAACTCCAATCAAAGGGGATGAGTAGGATTTGCCATCACGCACTTCCAGCGTGTCATAATTCACCTCTGTTTTAAACCTACAGAAAAAAATAGTCGGGAGAAAAGCTGGTAATAAATTAGCCTTCTTTCATCCTTTCCTCTCTCTTCCCATAATAGGTAATCCTCTGGTTATGGCCATAATTAAGCCTCACAATTATGGTCATAAGTTGTGTGATCATCATAAAGTGGATCACCACTGATTAGACTTCATTTTATAACCTTTTCTGCAGCACTTATTAAGCAAATGCAGTGGCCATAAATGAACACTGGCTGTTAACCAAACTAATTGTTTGATACGGGCTATGTTTTTGTCAACAAAAACATAAACCCTGCCAATAAAAGTGTGTATAGTCAAGGCTGGGGTTTTCCCAGTTGCAATAGATTGCTTTTAAGGTTGCACCATAAGAAAGGCTGAGGGCCAAAGAATGGAGGCCTTTGAACTCTGGTGCTGGAGAAGACTCCTGTGAGTCCCCTGGCACTGCACAGTGATCAAACCAGTCAGTCTTAGAGGAGATCGATCCTGACTGCTCTTTAGAAGGCCAGATCCTGAAGAGGAAACTCAAGTACTTTGGCCACCTAATGAGAAGGAAGGACTCACTGGAGAAGAGCCTCATGCTGGGAAAGATTGAGGGCAAAAGAAGAAGGGGACGACAGAGAATGAGGTGGCTGGGTGGAATCACAGAAGCAGTTGGTGTGAGCTTAAATGGACTCCAGAGGATGGTAGAGGACAGGAAGGCCTGGAGGAATGTTGTCCATGGGATCGCGATGGGTTGGACATGACTTTCCAACTAAAAACAACGTTTTTGTTGGAAACCAGAAGTAAACATTGGTTTTTAGCAAAACTTCTGTATATTGTGGTCACATGACCCCTGGGTGCTACAAATGGCCAAAAATGTGGGACAGCTGCCAAGCGTCCAAAATGCAGTCATGTGAACTATGGGATGGATGACATTGGAACTTTGAAACTGGGTAATTAGATGGGGGGGTCTGTTGTAACTTAGAACTATCATTGAATGATTGGCTATAAGTTGTGGATTACTTCTTTTCTATCTGAGGGTTAAATAGGATTCCCCAAACTGAGCTGAACTTATCTTTCCCTCCTTAAACCCCCATTTAATTTTATTCCCTTTTCCATATTTATGAACTGTTCCTACCACTGAAAGTTCTCACAGCAGCTTACAGAATCAAAACAAAGTGAATCCTTTCTAAAACAACACCATAAACTGTGATTAAAACAAATGGCAAATTAAGATCAATAACCCTGAACAGAGAATAAAACATGAAACAGAACCAATTTTAAAAGAGCAGCAAAGAACAGAAATGCCCAAGGGGTAGAAAAACATGGCCTAGATGAAATAATTAATTCCCTCCCTGGGAATTGCATTTCACCACTGAGCACCATTATGAATATGTCCACTTCCCTAAGAGGCACTCGCTGTCTGCACCTGACGGGAATCCTTTGAGAATCCTTTGTTGGCTCTTGTTATTCATACTAAAGGAAAAGTATTAACCTCCAGCTGTTCAGTTGCTTTTTCCCTTTTATCTTCACTTCATCAAGAATGCCCAAAATGCTCTGAATTAAGTGAAAATTAAGAGAAAGTGGGTGGCACAAAGAAAAAGGACATAAATTGTAGTGGGAAAGTCTGGAGAAAGCCAAGCATGCCATGAAAAAGAGATATTTCAATTCCCATTCAAACCTATCTTTAATTTTTTTTAATATTCTTGTGATGGAATGTGCACCTGGAGAAACAGCGAGGGGAATTTTGGCAGCACAGAGCTCTCTCTCAGAAAGGAGGCAGCACATTCTGGAGACAAGCCCAAATTGACAGGCTGCATAGTCCCCAGCTGGATGGGGGAGGAAGGAAGAGGTTCAGGGTAGCCGCACACTAGTATCTCCCAGGGTATATCTAATAGCTTAGAAGGTTACAGCTTTTGTCTGGCAAGATTCTGTCTATTAGATGTGAGCAAATAAAGAATTGGGACTCAACTTGATTTCATTGTGTCATCTTTGGACTTGGGTTGACCAACTTTGGGCAGCCAAAATTTGGGTTTATTAATGCAGACAATCTATATTTCAATTTTATGTGATAGCTAAATCACAACATATTTCTAAGGACATTGACTGTTGATAGCAGTGTATTGTACAACAGTGATTTTTAGCCTCTTAACCTTGTGTATTAATATGTGTTTGCATGTGTATATCTCTGTATACATATACATACACAAGGGAACATGAAAAAGAGTAAAATATACTTTTCATTCTTTTTCATGGTTCTTTTTCTATTTGTTTAAATGTTTTCTTTGATGTATTCATTGAAAGAGAAAAAAAACAAAAAAAAAACTTCAAATCAAAATAAATTTTGAAGATTTTCCATCCCATCTCTCTCCATTAGGCACTAAAGAGTCAGAAATGGCTAAATTAGCCTCATTGTGGAAGAAACCTCAGAAACAGAATTCAACACTTGGCTTTACTTTCAACAGTGAAGGAAGGCATTTAGTTCAATGAAGCATCTTTTAAAAAGTGTATGATAACTTTTTTGAAAAATAAATAAACATTTTTTCAAGTTTTTAACTACCTCATGCCCATATGCACAAGCAGAGAGAAACAAATGAACCTGGATAGTAAATTTTATTTTATTTTTTCTAAAAATGAGTATTTATACAAGTGTAAGAGAATACTAGGGGTGTGGTGTCTCAGTGACTAAGATGTTGAGCTCGTCGATCAGAAAGCTTGGCAGTTCAGTGGTTTGAATCCCTAGTGCCGCGTAGCAGAGTGAGCTCCCATTACTTGTCCCAGCTTCTGCCAACCTAGCACTTCAAAAACATGTAAAAATGCAAGTAAAAAAAATAGGGACCACCTTTGGTGGGAAGGTAACAGTGTTCCGTGCACCTTTGGCATTTAGTCATGCTGGTCACATGACCACAGAGACATCTTCGGATAGCGCTGGCTCTTCAGCTTTGAAACTGAGATGAGCATTGCCCCCTAGAGTTGGGAATGACTAGCATATATGTGCAAGGGGACCTTTACCTTAAGAGAATACTTGTAGCTCAGAAAACACCATGGACACCCCAGGACAATTTATAACCCAGCTGACATATCAAGCATTCCCAATCATGTAATTTTATTGACATGATTAAATTGTTGGTTACCTGTCAAATGTGATTTTGATTGGGTACCCTGGTTGAGCTTCAATGACCCATGCACAGTTGAGAGAGTCCTTGTAGAATCCCGGCCACCCTGGAGATAGGATCATTCCATTTGGTGAGGTCAGGTGGCCACCACAGGGAGCTATCCAGGAGAGGGAGGGAAATAAAGAAAATAAAAAATAAATATTAGTGCAAAAAGCAATATTGTAAAAAAAAATTGAATTATTTATTTGTCAGTGCACAAGATATGTACAATGAGATTGGTTGAGCTCACTCAGTGCACTCCCCCCCCCACACACAATACAGCTCACAGTGAAGACAAAAAAAGAAAAAAAGATCCCTAACACCCAGTCTTATTGCACCAGTGTGAACGTATTACACATTGTGCCACCCCTGCAAGCCCATCGTACCACATAGTTATGATATTATGTCACATTCAGGAGTCTGACAGCTATTGAGAACAATAGCATACCATATTTTTTGAAGTATAAGATGCACCTTTCCCCCCACCCCAAAAGTGGGGGGAAATTTAGGTGTGTCTTATAGACTGAATATGAGTGTTTTTGGCATCCCGAACCCTCCGTGCATCACATATTCACCCTCCCAGGCCCCCAGAAGCCCTCCACAGTGCTCCACAAATCCTATTTTTTTCCAAAAATGGGCCCATTTTCGCAAAGAAAGGCTTGTTTTGGGGGTTCCAAGCCATCCACACATCACATATTTGCCCTCCCAGACCCCGGAAGCACTCTGCAAGCCAAAAACAGGTCCATTTTTTGGGTGAAAATGGGTCCATTTTTGGCAAAAATGGGATATGCAGAGCACTGTATAGTAATTTTGGCGTCCGGGAGTGAAAATGCGACACATGGAGGCCAAAAACTATTTTTTCTTGTTTTCCTCCTGTAATTTTAGGTGTGTTTTATAGTCTGGTGTGTCTTATAGTCTGAAAAATACGGTACTTCCTTTCTGCTTCATTTTGTCACAGAAGGCTCTCTTCATATTGATTAACAATCCAGGGATCAACCAAGCTGAAAGACTGATCCTAAATGTCTCAGACCGTTCCTCGAATGTCCAGGCAGTGGGGGGAGATCAGGGTCCTGCGGTCTGGATGGCTTGCAAAATGGTTGCAAGCATGTTCATGTCCAGTGGCCACGAACAGAAGGTCACCATGAGACAAAGTAGCCTTTCTTTGCCACTCACCAGGTCACCTATGTTACGTTGCAGCCCTCCAGATTTCGCTGGCCCACAATCAGTATTGCTAGGAAAGCCCATTGGGAGTTGTAGCTCAGCCTTATCTGGACTGCCTCAGACTTTCCGGATTAAATTGGGATGTGGCAGTGGTGGGTATAATGGTGCAACGGGGCCGGGCGTCCATCACATGCACGCACGCAGCACGCACATGCCCGTGATGCTCCACGATGCTCCAGCTGCTTGGCGGAGCATTACACAGGCTCCGTACACTCCGTGTGCATGCGTGGAACCCTGATCGGCTCAAATACAGGTAAGGAGGGTGGGTGGGCACTCCGGAGCACCGTACCGGAATGGTACCTGGTGCTCCCAGCAGGCACCAGTACGCCCATACCGGGGCGTACCAGTCGTATCCCACCACTGGGATGTGGGTCTTAGTTAGGTCAGCATGACTGATTCTGACTTACAAGGGCTTGTCAGGATTTCAGGCCAGGAGCCAGGAATGAACACAGACTTGGTTCAGGTAAAACACAGCACCTGTCAATGATTGATGGCTTAACAAAGGTTGGCTAGGAGTTAATTAAGCCAGAGGTTCTTAGGGAAGTAAGGGGAAAAAAACCTTGGGGGGAAATGCCTTGTATTTTATCCCTTGTGAGACAGAGATTATATCTATTGTACTTTAGGGGAAAAAAATTGATAGCTTGAACAGTAAGAAATTCACTAAAAATAATTTAATTTTGTCTATTTCCTGGATCCTTTCTTGAAAGCATAATCTCCCAATTCCCCCCCCCCCAGTGTTCTAATGGTAGAATTTCCAAATTCCAAATCATAATCCACCAATTGCCTCCCAAGTTTTTGAAAGCAACACATTTCCACCCCATTTTTTCCAATCCCAACTGCTTTGCTCTGCCCATCTGATGATTTTTATTCCTTAAACATCAAACAGTGCCTTAAATATTCTAAGATTTCCCCCTCTTATTTAATTAAAAAAGAAGCTAATTATAAATTGCATTTAATTGAGCTCACACTGGAGGGCAAGTCCAAGGCAAGCAAGAAAGATGGGTGATAAAGGAGGACACATTGATAGTGACGAGGTTATCAAAACTGTCAGAGAATAAAAAGGAATTTGAAACAGTTTTGATACTTTTTTATTTTCCTCCACCACTTAAACTAAGAGTGAGAAGGTACATGAACTATCAAGCTTCTATGACCCACTCAGAAGAGATTTTAACAAGAGTGAAGTAAACAAAGCTGCAAACAGTTTGTGAGCAATGTTGATGCTTGTTTTTGAAAAGAAATGAAAAGGCAGAACAGATAAATGTCAAATGTTACACATCCTGTGACTGAAGAAGAATAACTTGGAGCAAGGAGCATCAGTTCTGGAGTGACTGTCATATTTTTTGTCTGGATGCAAATTGACACAATATTTGAAATTAAATGTTATCTTCCTGAATGAACTAAAACTAATAACAAGAACCTCAAAATTGATTGATGGGACAATTGTTTCACATCATAGAATTTGCACTGGACCAGCCCTGGGGGACCCACAGCTCAGCAGCTGAGTTCATGAATGAACTTAATAAAACCCTGGGCAAGGAGCGTTCTGGGTAGGATTTCAGTTGCAACTATCCATCTGTCCTTATGCTTGCCATTAACATTCTTGGTGGCAGGGTGTTCCAGAGGGATATGATTTCTCCCTTACAGCTTTTTTACCTCCTTCCTGGTGGGAGAATATTTCATGTGGCAATTTTGCCTTCTGTATAGAATTAAGGGAATGAAGCTAACTAAAGCTGACTTCAGTGAAGCTCAAGGGATCAATAAACCAAATTCTTTTCCATTTGGGATGATTTCATCTTTAGTCATTTCCAAACTCCATTAAGAAATCAAGAAGGCATGGAATTACACTGATAAAAATACTGAATACTGAGATGTGGTTTATCTCACAACATTTTAATGCAACCTACCTGAATCTAAATATAGCAATAAATGATCCCACTGAAAACTTAATAGAACAAAAGGCCAAAGAGACAGAGAGAAAACATAAGTGCGATACTTTTTTAAAAAATTAGTCTAGCAGCTTGTCAAGTGCAAGCAAGTAGAACTATGCGTGAATCATCTCAGGCAGAAGTAGTGTTGTTAGTCACCTATGAATGTTGTCAAACTGACTGCATTCTCATGGGAATGGTCAGACAAGGCTTCCAAGATTCTGGGGGTGAAGTCAGGCCTGTGTCACTTCCTGCAGTGCGGAGATTCTACGCTCACCACCCTCTTAACACTTCCCTCCAATCGAGCTGGTTATTCTACCAAAGCAGCTGTAAGTCATGCAGGGATATCCAGGAGGGAGGGAAGGGGCTAAAAAGTCAAGATGCTGTCCACAACCACATGACAGAAGACGGCTCACTTATTTACAGATGTTTACAACCAGGGGTGGGCTTCAAAAATTTCAGCAACAGGTTCTCTGCCCATTTGCTGGGTGGGCATAGCCATGCTGGGCATGACCTAGTCAGCCTCCTGCACCACAATGGTATGTGTGGGTGTGTTTTCGCCTTCCCCAGGCTCTGGAGGTTTTCCTCAAGCCTCTGGGAGGGTGAAACTGCCTCCCTTGAGCTCTGGAGGCCTTCTGGGAGGCCCATTTTTCTCCCTCCCCGAGGCTCCATGCATTTACCTTGTATCCAAAATGGGCCATGTGGAGACTCTTGGGAGGAGCAGGGTGGGGTGGGAGGGGTGGGGCGGGGCCAGCCAGGGGTGGGATTTGGAGATTCTCCGAACCACCCATAACGTTAGCTAGGGGTTCTACCGAACCTGGGCGAAGCCATAGCTACCCACCCATTTCCAACCCCATCACACAGGGTGGGGATTTGATCATGTAGTCATAGCTACCATCTTCCCTTCTTTGCTCCCTCCCCCAGGGCTCTAGATGCTTCTGTAGTTACATCAGTTTGCATACAAAATTCACATCCATTTGTTCCTCAGGTACTTCTTATATTTATTTATTTCCTTCTCTTAACTGTTATAACTAAGAAAACAGCAAGCAACATGGCAATTTACCTTCACATCTCAGGACTGCATTATCCCAAACCACATTGCCTTCCTTCAAGACACAGGTGATTGTTTCTGAGCCATGGGTCCTTATAAAGCCTTCGTCACACAGGAAAGAGACTGAGCTCCCAAGTTGGAGGCTATCACCAAACCGCTTCCCATTGACCGGCACTCCTGGGTCAGGACACTCATTGTGTCTGAAGGCTGGAAAGAAACAATAAGACATGGTGAAGCAAATGCCTTTTACCCCAAAGAAAATGGTCCTCTGCATTTGCCTTACGCTTCTTGTCTTCAGAGATGAAGTTTGGTTAACACTTTAATGGGCATCAAAAAACATCCTATTCTGTACCTTTGCTATTTCCTGCCTTCTTTTAGCAATCTTGCCAGTCCGAAATGCATCTCCAATGTGGACCTGAAGACTCTAGTTAGTGAGAAGGATGTGAGAGTGCTTGCCTGAGTGAAGTCAGTTGTTTATATGACCCATATGGTCACCATTGACTGAAAGACACCGGTCCCTGTGATTCTGGAGAACCTCTGGATATGTCCTTCTTTGCTGCTCTTTTTATAGAGACTTTCAAACAAAATTTATTTTCCTGATAATTAATAGGTATCCTGGTCGGTCTGATAGCATTAAGCTTCAGTGGTTGCTTAAAATATGAATGTATAATAGTCATAGCGCAGGTAGCTAGATTCTGCACAGCAACACAAAAGTTTCTCTGGAACTCCACAATAATAATTTTATATAATTAATGCACCAAATCTTTTAATATTATCCCCCTGCTGTAGTTTAGTACCTAATAACTATAGACTTTCACAATTCAACAATTACTCATGCATTATAGTCAGTGGTGCGGTTCAAATTTTTTTACTACCGGTTCTGTGGACATGGCTTGGTGGGTGTGGCAGGGGAAGAATACTGCAAAATTCCCATTTCCTCCCGATCAGCTGGGACTTGGGAGGCAGAGGATAGATGGGGGTGGGGCCAGTCAGAGGTGGTATTTGAGTCTTCTCCGAACTACTCGAAATTTCCGCTACAGGTTTTCCAGAACTGGTCAGAACCTGCTGAATATCACCTCTGATTATAGCTTAGGTTACGCTCTTGTTTATGTGCAACTGATTGGTAGGCTGCTAAATTATGATTTCAACATAAATTTTATTTGTCATTGGTTATTATTTTATTCCAGAACTTTTAATTAGATATTCTTTGAATATTTTTAATTATACTGGTATTGACTGTAATAAATATGTGATTGATTGATTGACCCATATGATGGAGTAACAGATGTGAACTGTGGCTTAGAGGTTGTTCTCAACAAACTTGTTTATTTGACAGAAGTAGCTTAGATTCTACATTGTAAGAATGTAGGTTTTTATACTTATGATCTTAAAATGGTATACATCATATTATTGATGTCTTACTTTGCAATAAAGAAAAAAAGTTAATTATATCTGAGAACCTATCACCAAGTAAGTCAGATACGGGGTTAAGTATCTGGGGTGCTAAGACTTATGTGAAGGCTGACTGTTGGTAAGAGAAGGCTGTTGAGTAAGATAAAAGGACTTGATTTGCCCACAATCTCTCAGTGTGAGGCTCCCTGAACTGATGTGTTCAGAGTCACACTGTGTCTGAATTGGGTGGCTACATAAATGTGTTCATGTGGCTACATAAATTTGTTTAATAAAAATAAATACGCATGGCAGAAGATAATTAGAGGAATGTCTATATCCAGAATCAAGCCAGAATAGTCATATTCAATTCCATTGTCTGGCCTTGATACAGAATAGAAATAGTTGCCCTTAGGGTGATTTAGAAAACCATAAAATAACAATAAAATCTGTGCATCCTAGCTACAAATATTTAATCCATAACTCATATGACATAAATGTTGCCCAGAGAAAATGGGCAGGTATTGAATACCAAATTAAAAAGTAAAGATTTCAAGTGCCTTAACACAGAGTTCCTCAGCGTTTCTGGCTTTGCGGACCGGTGGGAGGGGAAAGAGGGGATGGTTACGTGCGAGCAGCCAGCAAGTGCTCAGACAGCTCCAATTGTGTGGGCAGTGTGCACACACACCTCTTGCTCATTTAAATGGAGCACACCCATGCTCACCTGCTGCTCAAGCAAGTAAGGATGTGTGTGCATGTGTTCACCAGCCATTTCCGTGGCCTGGTTACAAAACCCTCATGGCCCACTAGTGGGGGAACCCTTGCCTTAGGTAAAGGTAAAGGTTCCCCCTCACATGTGTGCTAGTTGTTTCCAGCTCAGGGACGGTGCTCATCTCCGTTTCAAAGCCAAAGAGCCAGTGCTGTCTGAAGACGATTCTGTGGCCATGTGGCCATCATGGCTAAATGCCGAAGGCGCACGGAACGCTGTTACCTTCCCACCAAAGTGGTCCGTATTTTTCTACTTGCATTTTTTATGTGCTTTTGAACTGCTGGGTTGGCAGAAGCTGGGACAAATAATGGGAGCTCACTCTGCTATGTGGCACTCGGGAATCAAACTGCTGAACTGCCGATCGTCTGATCAACAAGCTCAGTGTCTTAGCCACTGAGCCACTGGGTCCCTTCCCTTAACACATGCCAATAATATAGGTCTTTAGCATGCCCTTTTCTTTCTTTCCTTCCTTCCTTCCTTCCCTCCCTCCCTCACTAACTTTACATTTGCCCTTTTCAGTTTGAGATGTTTCTTGAACCTTTAAAATACTCTCAGTATTCTTGAAGTGGACTATATTTACATTCAAAAACAGACATTCTCAACTTAGAAGTACACTACTTTATCAAACAAAATGTTTCAAGGTTTGACAATATCAATTATACCATTTCATTAGGTGGCTACAGGACTATTGGTACGAATTTATGAAGTTTGTGCCCTATAGTAGCTTGTCTTTCTTTTCCCCATTTTAATCTAAATACGTAGGAATTTTTAAATACCAACATTTATTGGATTTCTATGCATTTTTTGCTGGTGTCTTCAATATAACTCGCTACCTAAACTTAATCCATTTTCTGTTATTGGCATCTAGGTTTACCACAGCAAGAACAGAAGCTTCTGAAATGGAATATTGCATTCATGGAATGAGGATTCAATAACAACATGTACGACAGTTTATCTAGCAGGAGAGCTGAGAGACACTTTATTCCCCTTAATTCAATCTGTTCATAACAATCAGATGGTGCTCTTGTCCTTGTAGTTATATTTTCCTTTTTGGAAGAGTAAGATTATTTGCAAGAAGAAGGTCTCCAGAGTTTTAGGCAGGAATATTTTGCCAATTCGATTTGGAGATGTGAGGGGATGAATTTGAAATTTGCCACATGCAAAGTGTAGGCTGTAAGACTTGAGGTAGCTGTTCCATGCATATGGTGACAATCAGTGGTGGAAACCTCCTTGTTCAACAACCAGTTTGGTGGTCATACACTTTGTGGGTGCCCATGTGTGATGTGTGCTGCTCACACATGCACAGTTTGAAGAAATCTTCACTTCCGTGTTGTTGTTGTTGTTTTTTTGGAGGAGTAAGACAGCTGATTCATGCGGGGATCTGCTCTGCCACGCGAATCAGCTGAGAAGATAAAGGTAGGAAAATAGAGTGGGTGGGCAGGTGGGCCCATCTGATCATCAGGGAAAACCAGTTCCCTCCCAGCTGATCGTCAGAGCTACCGGTTCGCCCAAACTGGTCCGAACTGGTAAAATCCCACCCCTGGTGACAAGGATAACTTTCTTACTCCTAATCCAAATCTACACTTTTAAAACTTTACCAACAACAATTTGAGCAAAGACCAAGAACCCCGCAACAACCAAATGACAAAAATAAAGCCCCTTCAAACCCCCACCCCAAAATATAGGTTAGTGACTTTGATCAACTTGTCCTCTAATCCAGTATGACAAATTATTTTTTAATAATAGCTGGTTTGCAGTCGCCAACCAGAAATCCCATTAATTTTGTAGAGCTGTCAACCACTGTTGTAACAAAGGTCGTTTATCATTCTTGCCAAGTCAATCTAATCATGTTCCATAGAAAATTATAGGAGAGAGCTTTAGTGCAAATTGTGATGCGAAACTGCCATGCACTTCACTATGAAAAGCTTGGAATTAAGAGGATCCAAGAATAATTATTGCTCGTGTTTTTGCTATAGGCAATGAAGTTGTTTCTTCACTTTATAGTGTAGTAGCTGATAACCCAGCATTTCCTGGGTATTTATTCATAGGGGGAAAATATCTAGACCAAACGTAATTTCTAATGTTGGATTGTCCCCCTTACCAGAGGGAGCCCCGTTGTGGAGTACTGTGAAGCCATTACCATGGCAACTCCACTGCGCTGTACAGTAGAAGCCATTTTATGGTGTATGGTAGAAGCCTTTTTAAGGCACAACAGGCTGTATCTTAACAGAATACAGACTCCGAGAGGTGTTAGGGGTACCTTACCCCCACA